CCCTCTATGGTTTTGACCCACCGCGATCAAAAGAACACCACCCTGGTTGCTGCAGCTGCTGCTTTGGCCGGCAGAAGAAGCATTCTTCTGTTGCAACTACACCCGAGGAGAATCGAGCCCTAAGAATGGGTGATTCTGATGATGAAGAGATGAACCTCTCCTTGCTTCCCAAGAGGTTTGGAAACTCAACATTTCTTATTGATTCAATTCCAGTAGCAGAGTTCCAAGGTCGTCCACTGGCAGATCATCCAGCTGTAAAGAACGGTCGCCCACCTGGTGCTCTGACCATTCCTCGTGAACTTCTTGATGCATCAACTGTTGCAGAGGCAATCAGTGTAATCTCTTGCTGGTACGAGGATAAGACTGAGTGGGGACAGCGTGTTGGGTGGATTTATGGGTCTGTAACCGAAGATGTGGTCACTGGGTACAGGATGCACAATAGAGGATGGAAATCAGTTTACTGTGTGACCAAGCGCGATGCTTTCCGAGGGACTGCACCTATCAATCTAACTGATAGGCTTCATCAAGTCCTCCGGTGGGCTACGGGTTCTGTTGAAATTTTCTTCTCTCGGAACAATGCTTTACTTGCCAGCTCAAGAATGAAGCTTCTGCAGAGGATTGCCTATCTCAATGTCGGCATCTACCCTTTCACCTCCATATTCCTGATTGTCTACTGCTTCCTCCCTGCGCTGTCTCTGTTCTCCGGCCAGTTCATTGTCCAGTCCCTTAATGTTACTTTCCTTACATACCTTCTGGTAATTACTGTGACTCTGTGTCTGCTAGCTGTCCTCGAAATTAAATGGTCCGGCATTGAGTTAGAGGAATGGTGGAGAAATGAGCAATTTTGGCTTATTGGAGGAACTAGTGCTCATCTTGCTGCCGTGCTTCAGGGGCTTTTGAAAGTTATTGCACGAATTGAAATTTCGTTCACCTTGACATCGAAATCAGGTGGTGATGATGTGGATGATGAATTTGCTGATCTTTATCTTGTGAAGTGGACATCGTTGATGATCCCGCCTATCACAATCATAATGGTTAACCTGATTGCAATAGCAGTTGGTTTCAGTCGCACAATATACAGCGTCATTCCACAATGGAGCCGATTGTTAGGGGGAGTTTTCTTCAGTTTCTGGGTATTGGCTCATCTCTACCCTTTTGCTAAAGGGCTAATGGGAAGAAGAGGGAGGACTCCTACCATTGTTTTTGTCTGGTCAGGGCTCATTGCAATCACCATATCTCTTCTCTGGGTAGCTATCAACCCACCTTCTGGAACAAACCAAATTGGAGGTTCATTCACGTTTCCCTGATAAATCATTCTTTTCTGTCAGAGTTCCGTATGATATTCCATTGAATTCTTGTACTTCAAAGTTAATTATGTTAGTTAACAGACTAATTTATTTTCTTTCTCATGCCTGTATGAATTTTATTTTAGTATCATCAAAGGGAATTTAGCTGGGTTGGGGGTTGAATTGGGGAGGGGGGGTGGAGAATGGAAAACTAGTTGCTTTTTTTTTTTTTTA